GGAAGCACTGTCTGACGCGTCTGCCTCCGCGACCCGAAAGGAGAAGCGGCGATGGAAGATGAAGAAGATTTTGCGTGACAGTTCACAATGCGAATTTATAATTTTATAGTGATAACATTTCGACTGATCGAATGACCCTTTTCAGCAGGTCAAATCTAAGAACTTTTCAAGAAACAATTAGAGATCTTTTCCTCTAAAGAAATCCCAATTAAAGTCTAGAACTTTACAAAAGAACTGAACATATGCTGCGTATGCCATCTAGCAATGTTATTCATCAGCTGAATCATAATAATCAGCATTTTTATCGGGCTGGCAAAACAGCACTAAGCATCTTTAAAGTTAGGATAAATGACCTCAGAAGAACCGCCATGAATAACCACCCTGAGCGCTCCGCATTGGTTGCCGATGCTTTATACGTAACCACGATATACAACATTGTATAACAGTTACTGATCAGAAGAGTGATATGTACAGACTGCTGATTAAAGAATCTTCGCAACATTTTCTCAGCGAATAACAGGAGGCAGCAAAATTTATTTTGATATTTTTGAAGCATGGGAAATACTCTTAGGTATAGCAGAAATCAATTCGTTCCTGAAATCTATTATTAGCATGTGACTTGAAGAACAGAAAACGTACTGGTGGAAAAATAATGCACTGGCAAAATATCAAAAGTACAAAAAAGTAGTACTTACTGAGCAAATAAAACTCCTGAAGCACGGAAAAACACAGAGCATAACTGGAAGACGTGATACATGGTGTGACAGAATATACACCAACGACTGTGAAACAGTACGAATACGTCCTAAACGACCCGCAATTATCAAGTCAAGTCAGCAAAGCAGTCACGGTATCGTACTTTGGACGAACGAAATACCACGGAATCGAACGACTGACTAGTCAGCTTGGTTATGTACACTTTGGCGGGAGTCATGTACTCCCGAGCGGGCAGCTGCGAATCGAGCAAGGGTGGCGAGGATGGAGGTCGTTCGGTTCTTCTCAGAGAAGGCAAACTTCCAGTAGTATACTTGTAAACGAAGCGAGTGAAACTTTCCAAACTAAACTGATCCGCAAGGGCAAAGACCGCCTCGTTCTGAAGAAATATATAAAAATGTTATGCGACACCAAAATACAACGTAAACACAGCATATATCGAATAAAAAATGAAGTTCATGTTTATAAAAAAAA